GCCAACAAATAAACAAAATATTAAAAATAAACCCTCAAAATATAAATAAAATAAATATAATTAAACATACAAAAACAGAAACCATCATTTATTGTTTTTGTTTCTGGTTGTAGCTGCATATACACCGCAAAAAAAACCCACAAATAAACAAAATATTAAAAATAAACCCTTAAAATATAAATAAAATAAATATAATTAATAATACAAAAAAAACAGAAACCTTCATTTATTTTTTTTGTTGCTGGTTGCTGGAGCTGCATATACACCGCAAAACAACCCCACCAATAAACACCAAATTGAAAGTAAAAGTAAAAGTTAATTATTATATTTATTTTATTTATAATTTAAATATTTAAAATATAAATAAAATAAATATAATAAATAAAACACTTACACTGACATCTATATACAAAAAACACACAAACAAACGGAGCTGCATATACACCCCAAATGCCTCTCTCTCTCTCTCCCTCTTGAGGTGTATATACACCTGAATATAATAAAAAAATAAATTAATTTTTTATATTTAAAAATTAATTTTATTTTTATTTTTTTAATAAACACAAACCTCAGCAGGCAAAACCTTCTTCAGGTGTATAGACAGCGGAGAAGGTAAAACCAAAGAAAAACAATTCACTGCTTCGGCTATCACCAAACATTCAGATACACCCAGATGCTGCAAACTCTGCTGCTGCTGCTGCTGCTGCTGCTGCTGCTGTTGCTGCTGCTGCTGCTGAGGCTGCTGCTGAGGCTGCTGCTGAGTCTGCTGCTGCTGCTGAGTCTGCTGCTGCTGCTGATGCTGCTGCTGCTGCTGAGGCTGTTGCTGCTGCTGCTGCTGAGTCTGGTGCTGCTGCTGGGGCTGCTGCTGATCCGGGTGCTGCTGGGGTTGCTGCTGCTGCTGCTGCTGCTGCTGCTGCGAGGCGTCTGGGGAGGCAAGCCGCAGCAGCAAACGGTGCTGCAGCGACGGGGCGCAGTAGTTGAGCTGAGAAAAAAAAATAAAAAAATAAAAAAAAAGTAAAAATAAAATAAATAAATAAAATAAATAAAATAAATAAAATAAATAAATAAATTAAACAAATTAAATAAATAAATAGATAAATAAGAGAACAAACAAATAAATAAATAAATAAAATAAATAAATAAGTTAATTAAATAAATTAAATAAATAGATAAATGAGCGAACAAACAAACAAATAAATAAATAAAATAAATAAATCAGAGGGAACTAAACTGTAGATACATTTCTGTGGTGCGTATATATAGACACTGAGATTTACATATATATATATATATA